AAACATAAATAGGGTTCATGTCACGGCCATCAATTCTTTGCGAGAGCTCAAAATTCGACGCTTTTTTCTTCAGTGCATAATTCGTCCAATATTGCCTGTTTGTATTTGTTTAGATGGATAGCGAGGTTTAGCTAAGTTACATAGAATATCAATTGTATATGACGAACTTGTAGAGGATGCACTCATTATATCGCTTGACTTATTTGCACAGGATTGAGCTGTTATTTTATCAGTGGTAAGTTGTTCAAGAGTTGCATATGTTTCTTTTTTTTCACCTGATAATTGTAATTGGCTGATAATATCACTGTATATGTTGGGGGCAAAATTGAGATTTGGTCAAATTTAGAATTTGACCGGGCAAAACTAGAATTCCAAATTAGACTAGAATTTTCTTGGGCAAACTTGGAATTGCAAGTCTGTCCAGACAAAACTGGGATCTCAAATTTGACCAGCACTTTCCTTTTGGGCAAACTTGGGATTCCAATTTTGACCAGACAAAATTAGAATGATATGGTGTCGTTTCAGCGAAAGGCTTTTCAGCGAAGTTTTTTGAGCGAAAAAATAATAGCGAAAAATTAATACTGCGAAAAACATTTGAGCGAAAACCGTCGTAGGCGAAAATTTTTACGGCGAATAATTTTATTTTTCGCAAAATGTTGAGAATAAAAACCTAGATGTATATAAATAAAATTCTTTAATTTATTTAAATGAAAAGTAATATTTTATTAAATTTTCGAAAAAGTTTGTTACTGAAGAATCAGTCGATATTTAAGCGTGCTGCCTTGAAAATTAAAATATTAATTAGAACAACATAATTAATGAGCAACTGTAGAATTTCGAGCTACCAGTATAGATAATCCATGAATAAAATCCAACAAAGTAGTTTCCTTTTGTTTATAACGTTCTGTGAGAATTTTCACTTCTGTTCGAGTAAAGCAGCTTTTTTCGTTTAATTTCTTCTGCATAGCACATTTAACTTTTCCAAGTTGTTGTCGAAATGATAATTCTTTACGTTGTAAACACTCGAACAGACGCCAAACATTTGGATGAAATTTATCAACACGATTATTGAACTTATTGTGCCACCCTATAGGATAAACAAAACAGATGCCGACCTTTCAAAAAAGCAAAACTCACCCTCACAGAAGTTGTTCGTCCGAAAATCGAGAGTTGATACATTCCAATATTTTGGTGGCACTCGTGTTAACCATTGATATTTAAAATACTTGAAGAAATCTGTCATTTGTCCAAATGATTCATCT